ACCTCGTCCAAAAAAGGCGCGAATGAGCAAATCCAGAATGAAAACCATGCTCATCGTTTTCTTCGACGCCCAGGGGGTGGTCCACTACGAATTTGTACCTGAGGGGCAAACAGTGAATGGAGCTTTTTACCTGGAAGTGCTAAGAAGGATGAAGAGAAGGGTCAATCGGGTGAGGCCAGCCATCGCCGGAAATTGGAAATTGCATCACGACAATGCACCCAGTCACACCTGCTCCAAGGTGACCGACTACCTGACAAAAAACGGCATTGTGACGGTACCCCAACCCCCCTACAGTCCCGACTTGGCACCAGCAGACTTTTTCCTGTTCCTGAAAGTGAAATCCTTCCTCAAAGGGCACCATCATGGGACCCTGAGTGCCGTCAAAGAGGCTTGCACGCGGACCCTTAAGGACCTTCCGGAATCCGCCTACCAGGGAGCTTTAGTGTCGTGGCAACGCCGTTGGCAAAAGTGTATCGATGCACAAGGGATGTATTTTGAAGAATTTTGAGGCACTGTAGCAATATCTGAAATAAATCTATTTTCCCGAAACTTTTCCCGATACTTTTTATACGGACCTTGTATGTTCAATCTGTGTGAATTCTGATTACATATGTGAAATTATCATGTATTACATCTCAAAATGTCTGTAAAGAACAAGAATTTTAAGGTTGTTCCTTTTTACGCTAGTTTCGTGACACCTGAGAAAAAGTATACAAAATTTAAAGAAGTCAGATTTTACTGCATTGGTAATCATAGAAAAATATATTGGAATGTCTTGGGTAGCAGTAAAAGGGTTAAAGATAAGAGGAACACCCATACCAAAGAAAAGTACAAATAAATGGAAATGGACAGTGCACTTGCAAAAAAGAATTGCAAAATAATTACAGTAGAAGCAGATATTTCAAAATAATAATGAACTTGCTATTTTGTAATATGCTAGTACTTTGTGAATAAATATTTCATCCTAAATGGAATGCCTGCTAGTATCTGTTTCAGGTCTGTGTGGTCCCTTGCTTGAATCAATATTCTTTTCCATCCATAGTACCCTATTTTCTTATGACACAGTTCTTATAGTTTCATCTATCATAATTCTATTTCTAGTCCTTTGAGAGTGCTGAAAACACAATAGGGCAATATCAGATTACAACATTATACATTTTTATTTGGTTATTAATTCTTGTGTCAGTATGTCTATATGACACAGTCCAACCTCAGTGCTCTGTTTATGAACAAAATTTTCTATTGGTAAGCCTTATAGTTCACACCCTCCACAAATGGTTACTTAATTAAAATGATAATTTGACTGTATGAGGTATTTAGTCAACAAGTAGTCTTAAATATACGAGTATTTTCTACGTGTATTTTTTACATTTTTGCAAAGCTTACTGTTCTTTGTATTTTTTTTTAATCATCCAATCCACTGGCCTTACAAATAACATCCAGAGTTTCCAAACCATTTAGAATGAACTATAACAGATCACTGGATGTTTGAAGACTAAGTGGCTTTTTTGGGGATATAACTAAGGATTTTAGGGTAAATAATTCAGATTCCAGCAAATTATTTTAAATAAGGACCTTCTTTTAGATGTCCTTACAAAAGTTTCATGTGCCAAACTAATTATTCGGGTGATAGCTATGATGATATGTACAATGAGTGATGTAAGACTGAGGCTCTTTTACTGTAGCCTAAATGTGCATCTTGTATCAGCCTCTAATGGGCATAATGATAGATGGGTATGGAGCAATGGTGGAATGATTGGTGGGAGAAAATTGTAGTACTTTATGAGAAACCTACCCAAGTACCATTTTGTTCACTACAAGTCTCACGTGGACTGAATGGATATTACCCTAGGCTTCTACTGTAGAAAGCTGGCAACATAGCCACCTGATCTGAAGCATACCCAGCAGAGACTATTAAAAAACAACATCTGGATTAACCCCTTACAATACAGTGAGAACTACTCATTCCGCCTGCTTTAATACTTAAAATTTCTGCATTTTAACTTCAAAGTTCTTTTACACATTTTATGTGATTTTTAGAATAAACCACAGATATCTGCCTAAACAGCATTAATAGACTGGTCTTTGTAATGGAGATACATAGTATTTTATATGAGGTAGGAACTTAGTTTTAATTATTATTTATATGAACATCAGGCTTCAAAGGATTTAGATAAATAAATTTCTGGAGCATAACTTAATTTAATTAATTCTGTTTTACAATTAAATTGTTTCCAATAGTACCACAATAAGAATTTCAGCATTGTGATCACAAAGGAAAACGAGAATTTGTAAAAATTGTTATAAAAACTTCCTCATTAAACCACACTATATGTTGTTTTTCTTACTCTTCTCTCTCAGGAATATATGCACTTCTCCATTATTTTACTTTGTTTCTGTGTTTCTGCTCGATGTTATTTATGTATGTTGCTCTTATTTCTGTAAGATTTCTTTCCAACCATCACAGGTTCTACAATCAAGAAACTTTCTCAGATCAAACAAAATGTTGGGCAGCTTTAAATTAGATGTGGCAACAGTTTGGGCCCAGCCAGGTACAGTGAAAGTATAGTCCCTACACTCACTGTCCTCCGGATCAAAATGTGTGGTGCATACTGCATCTTGCAGCAGCAGAGTTATCTTGTTGATGCATCAATCACTGACAGCAGCATTTACTATTGTTTGTGTTCCCCACAAATTGTTCATATCTTCTCTGCAATAGTGCCAATACTTTTATCTGAAAATTCTGATTTTTTTTTTGTTTATTGTAAAATTTAAGTAAATGAGAATAATTTTGACAAATAGAAATGAGGCTCACAATAAAAACCAGTGGAAGAATAAATTGTGGAAATGTACCTTATTATTCAGTTCAGAAGTTTACCATCCTATCAACTTTCTGAAAGTTAAAAATCAGGATATAAAAACGATAACTTTGCAACTTATTTGTATGGGTCTGAATTTTTTTTTTCTTCTGTGAGACAACCATAAATTTTAATTGCTTGAAACAGGAAAATGTTTGGGCCTAAGATGAAGCACTTGTAAAGGGCAGTTTAGGATATTGTCACGTGATATAGTGACTATAGACAGGGTTTGGATTGTTAATTTGATTTATTGGCAACTTATACAGCTCATTACTACCTTCACAAATTACTGTCGTAGACAGACTAGTGTTCTCAGTCTGTTGCAGTCTTCACTATTTGTTTCTGCATAATGGACTTCAATGCTCTATATTTAAGCATCTCACTGAATTACACACTCCAAATATCATTGTAACTACAGAACACATAAAGTCTTCTCTGTCTTCACTAGTCATTTCTTGGAAATGGCTTCTAAAAGTGGAGATTCTTCAGCTTTTGTGATGACTGCACCAACTAAGTCTTCCTGTCACAGACTCCCTTATAACTCTTTCAGTGCTTCAGCTGTATAACTCCCAAACTAGCAGCCATTTCAAACCAACCTTGTAGTCTTCTCCTCACAGACTGACTTTCAATTAACTAAACTCTAACCTTGTCCCTTGCTCATAATATCTCACCACAGACCACATAGAAAACATGGCTCTTCTATTGTTGCTCTAGTAATCTCCATGGAAAGATGTTTGTTTGTGAATGTGTTATCCAGTAACAGATGCGTATGTTTGCTTATTAACCTTTAAGTGCCGAAGTGCCCAGTTTGTGCCAGTCATGAGTAAGGTCGTCGTGGCCAAAGTACCCAGTTGTGGCCAGTCAGGCATTTAAACTCCGCTAGTGGAAGCGCGCGCACACGCCGCTAGTAGAAGCGCATGCACAGTCCTGAATATTTATTTTTAAATGTAGTAATTACCAGACCGACTTAAGTAAAACCCTAATAGAGGAATTAAAATAATACCTTACTGAACAACAGCAAATAAAAATATACGTATGAGTTATGCCAAAACTTATCCACAATCCAGTAATTTTGTTGCAGATTCTGCAGATAGGTATGTTAAAAATATAGTGTAAAATTCGATGTACATACCTTTTTTGTTGTTACCTTCTTGATGTATATATAGGTTCAAATGAAACTACAGTATTCGATTTCACTACGAACGCACACAAAAGAGATCACGCTCTGTATCTCAGCCACGATGCAGCTGTCTGTTCATTCAAATAGAAGGGGCAATAAGCTTTTGCAGCCCTAACGGAACATCTTAGCACTGAAGAGGGGACCCCTATAGCTTTCTCTTGAATAGCCATTCTTTCATTCTTCTGACCTTCAGTCAAGTATTCGAAAATCCGAAGGGTGTAAGCAGCGCTAGCAGAAGACCAAATGATTTTATTGCTTCCATCTGTTTTATGACACCAGAGACTGCTAAAATTTGTCAAGTGTTACAAACAGAAATGAAGTTATAATGCAGAACAACTCTGTGAAGAACTGGGAAACCATTTTTGCAGTACGCATCAAAATTAAAACACAAAAAATTGAAAATAGAGTACAACACTTTGTATTAAAAATTTCAAATCTTCCTTTATAATATGCGACACTATGTTCTTTTCTGAAATAAACAAAGTTATTTCCATCCATTTATCATAAAAATTGAGCTAGATAGAGCATTTTTAAACACAACGCTTAAAATTGATTAAGCGCCTAACAGGAACGGACATTTAAACGCAGCGTAGCAACGGGCATTTAAACGCGCACCAGCAGCGGACATTTAAATAAACTCCGGCCAGCTCAAGCTTACCACTATTTCGAAGTCCGGCGTTTAAAGGTTAATAGTCTATTGCCTAGCAGCGAATATTGTTTTGTTTTCTGTTTTGAGGTAGTTACCCAGCAATGACTCTATACGTTACAATATTAGTTCATGAGGAACATTGTGTTTAATACCAGTACCTAATACTGTTAGGATATTAAAATCTAAGAGGCTCTAACATACTGGAACTATATCTAAGATGGGATAGACAAGATACCCATGTAGAATTTTAGTGGGGAAACCTTTTGGGAAATAGTCACTTGGAAGTCCAGAAAAGAGATGTGATGATAACTTACTGGTGGATCTTAGGGAAGTACATGGTGAAGATGAGAGAAGAATGTCACTGACATATGTATTTGTACTTGACTTGTTCTATATCCAATGGTGTCAACCTGTACTTGGATTTATGGAACATAAATAAATTCAAATTCATAACAGAAGTATATCTAGTGGAGGGCTTTGGTATTAGCAGTGTTGAACACTTTTGTTTTCTATTATCAGCTTCATATTTTAATCTCAGTTACTTTAAACATGTGTGCCTCCCAGAACAGTAGAGTGCTGCTGTCACTGGTGGTGAACTCCAGGGTACTTTGCTACAACTGCTTCATGTGCCACTTTTCAATAACAGCATTGAGTGCTATGTTATGTGGTGTTGTACATGCGCACACACGTACATGTGTCATAGAGAGCTGGCAGTGTGTGTCATGCCTGCCATAGTCATTAACAACACTTTAGCTAGTTTTTTAACCCTTGTAAATCACTACACAACTGGTGCTGTAGAAAAAATGAATGGCATCCTAACCTGTTGAGGAGGTTGTATAGTAAAACCTAGAGGTGCTATGATATTTCTTCATTCTGCAAGAAAGCTAAATAATAACAATAATGACAAAAACAACAATATTTTCTCTATTCAATCCTGTATTCATTTACATGCTTACTCAATAGTTCAGAGTTTAATTAAAAATTAAGCATGAGCAATGAAAGAAAGAGGCAACTTGTATCATTCAAACAGTAATAAGAGTTTAATTAGTGAAAACATTCCAACCATTAGGCAGCAAGAAAAAAATATATAAAATATACATAATTAATTTTGCATGTGTGTGTATATATATATATATATATATATATATATATATACACATGCATACATACCTACATCCTGAATACAATTAATATTTTAATAATTAAGAAAGTAACATTATGAAATATGACTATGAGAAAGAGTTTTGGTTTCAATTGTGTCGGTGTGTCTATAAACATAATTATCAGTTGAAGCTCATTTAGCAGAAGGACAATTTAGAGAAGACATTGACTATAGAAAAGTCTCTAATACATAAAGCAGGAATTCAAAGGCAAACAGTTTCCAAAAGAGAGGAGCAGAATTTAGATACAAGATAAATTTAAATAAGAAACATTACACCAGGGTGATACTTTCTCTTACATAATGTGTGTGTAAGTGCTGTAAAGCATGAGCATAACTATAGGACATGAGGAAAGGGAAAATTAAAACAAAGGCTGCAAATTTCTGATTGGTGTGTTCCACTTCATTGGCGTCAGTAGACATAATGGAATTCCAGACAACAGAGGCATACTCAAGCTTGACTCTAGGAAGAATAAAATATAATATATAGGCATTTGAGGGATGAGAAGGAGAAAGCAACATTCTGAACTACACACAGTATTTTAATATATTAATAAAATATAGTAGTGGACATGAATATAGAAATAAATTTCAGAATCCAGCAAGGACCTCAGGTCCATAATTATGGATTACAGAAGGTTGACAACAGCAACATCTGTTTTCATTATCTAGGACTAAAATAATTTAATTTTTTAACTCTATCTGAGAGAGCTATTCCATGATCAAATTATACTGAAGTGAATTTGATCACAGTGTTTTAAAGAAGTTATGCGGGGTGAGTGTTCATGGTTTAAATCACTGTCTGAGCTAGATAATAAGGGAACTTATGTAAATTGTAGTTGTCTGCAAAGTCAACTTAGTGAAGTGCTAAAATCTTTAAAGAGTGTAATGTTTTTATTACAAAGAGAACATGGATTAAGTTATAGTGAGAACAATAGAGAAACATGTGAAGACCCACATTGTGACATGCACAACCGCGAAAGAAATGTACGACACCTTGAAGCAAATTTATCAGCGAGACACCTCTCAACAGAAGTGCCTTCTGCTACAAGACTTCAACTACAACTTCCTGTATGGAGACCTAGAGGAGGAAAACTACATGGAGATACCAGAAGGATAAAAGAACACTGGCAAGATATGTCTCCTGAAAAAGGCATTATATGGCCTAAGACAAGCACCATCGCAATGGAACAAGAAGTTGACAACCTTTCTAAAAGAAGAAGGTCTAAACCAAGTAAAATCTGACCAATGCATTTTAAGAATGATGCCAATAGTTTGTTCATGGCCATTCATGTGGATGATGGGATAATAGTGGGAGAGGATGAAAGACAAATAGAAGAAATTCTTCTGAAACTGGAAAATCAATTCCAGACAACAAATCCAAAAGTTTATTTAGGAATACGAATTGAGAGGCAATCAGATGGGATACATATCTCTCAAACCAACTATGGAAGCCAAATATTGGAAAAATACAACATTCAAGAAAGTCGAGAAATGAAAACACCCATGGTCACGACCCCACCAACAAACGACGAAGGAGAAAATGACATAAGATTTCCTTACAGAGAAGCTGTACGAAGCCTGCTATATATGACTTCTAAAACTAGACCCAATATGGCATTCGCTGTAAATTTGGAAAGTCAAACCTTGGAAAATCCTGACAAAATAGCTGTTCAGAATGTGACAAAAAAAACCCTAGGTATGTG